GTAAGGAGAAGTACTGTGGCAGATCAACTCGACCAACGTCGGTGGCAAGTTTCTCGAGTGCAACGAGCGCGGCAATCCCAAGTTGGTTTGCAGAGCAAACTACGCTATGTAAGATACTAGGAAGGATGTGCCTGTATGATTCCGGGAGAGAAGTAGGTTCGTCCGTGAGCTGTTGCTTCAATATGCAGTATACCAAGGGAGGATGCATATCCAAGCATTGAGATATGTCGCTATCTGCAATGTCAGGTCTAGTGAGGAGCACGTTGAAGACGAGGAAGAGTCGTTCCTCCGTTCTGTATTGTATCGCTAGATTACCGCAGGTCAACAGAAACTCGGTAGGTGCACCTTCGAGCACGCCACGAGCGACTTCCTCAGGGCCCGTCATCACGAGCATCTCTTCGACAGAGTGCTTCGTCCAGTCCACATCTATCAGTGAACGTGGGATGTAAGAACGGTGCTCATGAGTGAAGCGACTCAACCTCTCTTCCGTTTGGACACTGTCATGGCGTTAATTGGCAATAATGACAGAAATCATCCTTGTCACGTACTGCTCAAAGCGAAGATCAAATGTTTGATGCCCTACGCGGTCTCGATTGGAAACTACGTGAATTTCAATCGTCACGACAGGTGTGCGGTTTAACCTCCCGCATTGCTAAGTAGCAATTCATTCGTGCACTTGGTAATAGAATACGAAGCACTCACACGTTGCACATGAGCAGATATTTTCTGCAATGCGATACTGATGGTCAGATCATGCTGAGATTGCGGCGGAGGTCGCGTCGGAGGTCGCGTCAGAAAGATGAATGTGTCGCTGCGTTGATTGTTGTACAATTCCATCTTGTTGTCTCCACAGTGAAGCTTGTAACCCTTGGTGGACCGTCTATATGTTGCATGGGACGTTGATGAACGCGGCATGAAGGAGCAAACCATGACATTCTCATCGACGGGCGGCTGCAGAAGCAGGCTGAGCTCAGCCTATCAAGAAACGAACATTGCGACATACTTCGTCGTTCCACGCGATTTGCCCTCTCAGAAACACCCCGACAGAGAATCGCTCATCTGTCTGGATGAACGTCTCAACGAACGTTGTAACGAGATAAAGCGAAATTAATATCCTGCAAAATGACCAAACGCCTGTTGTAGTTCTCAACAGCATCCTTGAGATATTCAAAGAAAGCCGCGCGCCCTTGAATCCTTGAACTATACAGCCGCTGGAGTCGCAGTGGACCCCCCAGGTTACGATCCTCCAAGTCTCGTGCTTGCAAGATATCCGACTTGATCAAACTTCGCAATGATGTAAGGCCAAAAGTTAGGGGACGACATGGTCGAACGCACCTGTTCCAAATGTAAGGCGCCTCCTCCTCGGAGACTCCGAGAACTCTAGCGGCTGCATACTTTTCTGATATGGTCATAGCACTGAAATCTATATGAGATATGTATTTAAGGAGGGTGATCCCATGCTTTCGAGCAAAGCTTGCAGCGTTGCTGAACAATTCATACTCTGACACAGCCGTCTTCTCGGAGGACAGAAGTTGCTCTAGAATCTCGTCTGCTTCGTCGGGATGCATGGTGGTTTCCATGGCTAGTATTGGCTCCTCCGCCAGGAAATTTTCGGCGAATGCTTTCGCTTCGTCATGCAACGCATCCAAGACATATACATCCCCTTCAGGCTTCGGCGGTACGTTCTCCAGCTTCGAAGGAATTCGGACTGGCATCCCATCGACGCAAGAAGAGTGAAGGGCATTCAACTCCTGACATTCGTCGCACATGGCACCTTTCGGGCTATAGCGAGCCCATCGACTATGCAACGCGACAATCCTCGCGAGAGACATGCTGTACTATGGTTTGAGATGGCGTGGCTATATATAACACTTTATGTACCTGTTGTATGACGCGAAATGCTTGGCAAGGTCTTGACGAGTAATGTTGTTGTTGATGTGCTCTCTGGGCGCCGGATACGTATAGGACTAGAGGAAATGAACGATGTAAGCTCATTGCATGTTATTGTTGTAGACTAGAACGAGGAGAACATGCCTCTGCAATGGTTTTAGGCACAATGTCAGAGTCCCAGATCACAGCGAACTGATCACCATCTGCAACACCTTGAATTGAGGTTCATAGCGGAGGAACGGCGGTTCACTCACCCAGGTCACCGCCAGACATCATCGACGGTGCAGCTCTTTTGCCTCGACTCGCGAATACGATGCAATCAACCAAATGATCCAACTTGCGGTGGTTCACGGCACGAAGCTTGATACAATCGCCGGGGTGAAGACAAGGATTGCGTACGACAAGTACGTCTATGTTCGTCAACGTCGTTGCACCTTGGCGAGGCATCGACACCCGAACATGCACTTCGCCTGCACGCAAAACGCCGTACGGGTCGCAAATGCCATAGAGCAGGCGAGACTTCGGTAAAAGCATTCGAACTCGCTGACGAGTTTCATTCTTCTTGAATGCGGCGACCTCAGCTTGCTGCAGAGCCCGCAGGGATTTTTGAATGGGAGCGGAATCAAGTCCATCGAGGAGAAGCCGTTCCGCAAGTTGGTACTTTCCAAGCGCTGAAAGGAGGTTGAAGGCTTGCTGCCAATCCGTTGAAGAATCGCGTATCCACTGAAGGTAATTGCGTTGTTTTTCCACAAGCGTCTCGGTGGTAATGCCTAGGCTCGCTAGAAGTACGACGACATCGTTGTTCAGGCGAGCAAAGGCATAAGGCACGGAGTGGCCGACAACTGAAAAAGTGTTGTTCTGGGTGGCCGTGAATTTCTTTTGGCTTTTACGGAAATGCACGTGTTCAGAGTGCAGTTCGGGATGCAGCATGAGAACGCCCTATTAATACACGTTCAGATGGTGAACATCTCGTTGCGTATGAACATACTTTGTATCCTTTATACCTGCGCAGAGTCAATTCACAAAAAGCACGAATTCGAAGATTTGGAACGCACCTGATCTGGTACACACTAGGGGTGTAAGGTCTTCCACGAAAGAGGATTCGTTTATGCTTGCTGAGTTGCTTCGCAAACTTGATCGAAATCAGCCCACATCCGTCAGAGAAATTTTCACCATTGAATACGATATCCTCTATGTCCTTCGTATGTCGAGGATCGAGCGTCCAGTCGATTTTCGCCTCAGAGAATAGAAGTCCAATGCGCTTAGCACCTGTTCGTGGGTTGCGATCACTTGGTTGACAACTTGGAGAAGAAGATCTCACGTTTTGCCGCGTTATTTATGTTTCGAAAGTCGCCAAAGCTATAGATGCGTTCGTCCAATTCTCCATCGGACTGTGCGTCCCGCAGGAAGCAGCTGCGTGAACGCTAAACATACCATAAGTAGGACCGAAGTCTTTAACTCCATACAGAATTTTACTCACCAGCTGCGAGTTACTATGACCGTAAAAGCGGTATTGCTTACCGTTGAGAAACAGCCCTTGCCGGAACAAACGAACCATATATTCCCTCGTTGCGGTGGCCGACCCCATTTCCAGATGTGCGAGTTGTTCAGCTTTGAAGCGCAGTTGTTCGAAAGAAACCAAGATGAATTTTGTGAGGTCATCACCCTGCAATATGCGATTGTTAGGGAATTGTATGACGGACAACGCAATACGGTCCGCATTGAAGGAGATATGTTTCCCTGTACCAGGGCGATTTGTCCTAGGTAGGGAGATGTTGTTGAATACCCAACTTTCATCGTTGGGGGACGGATTGTCTCGCAACACAATCGATGTCATCGTTGGATTACAAACCGGACAGGCAGATGGGGTCCAGTATCCCCGGGAAAGGATGGGTGCTTGTACGTTATATATATCTGCAGGCGCAGCAAACAATCACCCTGGCAGGCACGCGTGAGTACCATGTGAACCAACTGGGAGTTTAACTCGCAAACCTTAAGCACAGTGACGCCTATGGAGGCGACCAGGGTCCAGAAACTTACAACTTGCACTCTTCCCCTTTACTGCTCTCGCCATATCTAAGGAGATTGTGAGTACAATTGCATCGCGCCAACGAATATGCTTACCGAGATACCAATAGAATGATGAATACTGATGCGGGAGGAATACGAACATGGGAAGAAGGAGCTTTGGCGGCGATCTTCGTCCTGGGGCCATCGTCTAGCGGGAAGACAACGCTATGCGATGCCTTGGCCAGAGACCTGCGCCTCCCCCCTTCTAGGTACATCACGGAAGTCGCGCGAACGGTCATGAAGGAGACCGGATTCACGAGGAATGACACTTACAAGTATGAGATGCAGGCTGCCATCATGAACGCACAAGTGAAGGCGGAAATGGAGGCACTGCAACTGGGGGACATACAAGCCGGCGAGTTGAGGTTGCTAAGCGACAGATCTGCGGTAGACCCGATTATATATGCGTCCACAGCGTCCACATCAAGCGCGAATGAAACACGGAAGAGATTGTTGGAGAGTGAGGCGTTCAGAACGGTCATCGGCACATACAAACGTTCCCTCTTTGGTGCGTCGGGTTTGATGTACAGAGTCGGGGATATCTCAAGCGTACTTTCTAGTGGTTCTCCAGCCAGTGTCGGAGTGGATCTACGACGATGGAGTGCGATCGTTAGAAGACCCGTGGAACTATGTGGACACCCTGCGTCGCTTCCTAGAGGAGTATGACATCCCTTTTTGGGAGATCTCGGAATCAGTCAAATCGTTAGTCGAGAGAGTAGCCTTGACGAAGGAATATCTACGCCTGCATATGTCCAACTGAAGCCACAAAGTCACGGTAGTATTGTTGCAAGAGCCTCATTCGCATCGACTTACTGCCCCTCACTGCATCTCGGAAAGTTTTCACCTCCACATAAGAGGGTATATACCTGCGATGGTGAATGGTTGAAAGGAAGATCGAAGAGGTACAGTCTGGGTACAGTAAAGGGTAGAGCCCGAATATTTTGTCAAGCTGGCATATGCTAGCGCTGCCATAAGGATAGCGAGCGGCCGAGTCAAGTCTATAAAATTTAACATAATTATAATATTGTTCCCCCATGACAGGCGAGATGGCCGAGCGGTCTAAGGCGCCAGACTAAGGCCAGGTGAACATCGCCAGCCATCTGGTCCGAAAGGGCGTGGGTTCGAATCCCACTCTCGTCATAAATTTTGCATCCCATTGCGAGTTTCCCCCAAAACCGATTGGCAGTCTGCGAGAGGCTCACTCGCGACTGTCGTGGTGGTTAACATTACAGTCACACCTCGTCCTTACGATGATACCCTCTGGGTCTCTGTAACCCGGGGATCTGTGCATCCCGATTTCCAAGGTCAGTCTCGTACTGGGCTGCTGATGGTCCAGCCCATTCTATACTTGCGAGTAGCCGCGGCCCACGGCGGCAGCACCACGAGTTCTTCCAAATGTACCTATCGAGTACCTTTGCAGGATTACCAGAAGCCTAAGGCAGTTTGCGAGGTTCAAGGGGACGTAGAGTGGAGTAGATCGATGTATTGACCCCGGACAGAAACATCCGATTACTTCCCAGCTGCCAGCCAGAGGCGAGCATCCGGCGTTGACTGCATTGCTGGTGAGTACGCCCCATCCTCCGCATTGACGTTTAGCTCTCAGCTGCTCAAGGAGTTGCAGACTTGGAGATCCTTTGCACCTGGTCAGCATTCGCGATCCCACGAAGCACCACCGGCCACATCCAAATAGAAGATACTGCTTCGATATCGGCGGTGGTGACCTCCGTTATGACACACAATATTGTGGCGGAGAGTTAGGTTCATTGTAACACGGAAGTCAGATGGCCTGCTAGTGACCTAGATCGCGGGCAACTGACGTCCTCATACCGATATTTGATACCCTAATTGGTCGACTTCCATTCAAGCAGTCTACACCAACCTATATAAAAGCTGATGCACGAAGACTTTCATTCCTCAGACCAAACCGTACCTGTATCACTCAGTCACTATGTCGACCGGTGCAACCAAATCCGCCGCTCAGAACAAGGCTACTATCGCTTTCTTGAAAGCTTTCGAGGCATCCATCTCACAGTCGGACTCTACTCAGCAAGTAGCTGACGAAATCAACAATCTTGCCAAGGAAGCTCTTCAAGTGCAAAAGGATATTAACGACAAGAAGCGTGTCTTCGCGAATATCCTTAACCACTTGACTCGCGATACACCACTAAAGACCGACGTCACGAAAGTAAGCAATGAATGGGATGCGATAGCTCAGGTATTATGATTTTTTCCGAATCACGATATCTTTCGCCGCTGAAGGTGTTTGTGCAGCAATACACAGACGTCTTATGGAACTCACGACGCGTGGCAGGCTCTGCAGAAGGGGCGGCGAATGGTAAGAATCTGGCTGCCTTTATCCGTACTAATCGCACGATGTATCGTGTTAATGTATGCGATGCAGATTTTATTGGTGACTTCATGACATTCCTCACGGACTCCAGTGTCCCCTTGGAAGAAAAGCAGTCAGAGATTAAAAACTACCTTGAGGTAGGGATTTGCTGCATACATGGTCTGATGCCTCTCTTATCCTCTTCCAGAACTTAGAGAAAGATGGCCAAGATGGCCAAACCATGCTCCAATCTTTCGACGATCTCCGCGGGTCTGCCCAGTCTGTTTTGGATGAATGGGATTCTGTAGTGAAGCAGTATCGACTCGATCGCCGATTGCAAATAATAAAAGAATACAAAGCCCAGATTGCCGAGCTGAATATCAAACTCAACGCGTGAGTTTATACGCTCTTTGTACCTACTGTACCTTACCAGATCATTACCGACAGCCTTCTTGAAAAGGTATGTAGATTCCGAGTCGATACCTGTTGAAGTTTCTCTCTAATCGACGGCACTAGATCAAAGAACATGTCGCTTCAGGAGGATCTATGTCCGGAGCCCTTGGTGTTCTGGCGCCCCTGTGCCCTACGCTTGTCGCAAATGCTCTGCAGGCTGCTGTACAGTCAAGCAGTGGAGACGAGGATGCAGAGCTGGCGAAGCTCATTCATGAGTATCTCGGTAAGCTCCCATGGTGTATAAACCCTTTGAACGAAAGTGCTGACAATCAACTACAGAAACTCGAGACACCATACAGAGGATGACTTACAAACTGCATCACCTTGAGCAGAGTATTACAGAGATTGAAACTCTTCAATCCAGCCTTGAGTTGACAGTTCAAGAACTCAGTGATCTCAGCAAACGACTTTCTGCGATCACGAACGTTTGGCCGATGGTATGTATCTTTTGTACATCTCCGTCCTACGCTACTTCAACCAATGTCGTGTATAGCTTCGTGCCGATCTCGAATTCATATCGCAATTGCTTCCATTTGCCGGGACATCTGACTTTGACAAGGTACGTCAATCATTTCGTGCGAAGACTTTAAACTGCCTTCATACTGATTCATGCCTGTTATAGTTTTTCCAACTCCACTTGAGGACGTTGACCAGCATATATACAGTGATCGCCGCAGCGTTGCGTCAATACCAGATCGCTGTGAACCCGGAAGACCCATCCTTCAAGAATGCCAAGAAGGTCTGAAGCCCAACTCCACCCTCTGGACTCGACTGACTCGAGATGACAAGTCTTCCGCGTCGCCGGTTCAAGTTGTGAGCGTTCAACGAGGTTCAAATTGCGAAGTCATTTAATTGAAAGAAATAGTGTCTCACTCATGTATATGTACTTCCAGTTGTGTCGAGGTCATGATAGTGTTCTGTCGTAAATAGAATGCGAGACTGTTTTTGAGTGCCCTTAGCTATAGGCTCGGATGACTTGAACCTACTTGCCGCATTAAGTGACACCTTTTCGCGATCAGGAGAGGAGGTACCGGCGGCTGCGCCCAATTGACCGTGACGCGACGGCTCTCAACAACTTTACCCACCACCTTTCCTAAGCAGAGCACTGTACTTCTGCTAGGTGTTTGGGTATTCGTACACCATGTGCTCAAGGTACGAGGTCCCAACTTACTTGTGTTACATGAACGATACATAGTAGGTGACTACTACACGAGCCTCGCGCTCCTATCTATTTGACATGCGAACTGCCTTGGCGAGTCGAATGAGTATCGGATGCTGTGAAGCAACAAGGTGAGTCACTGTGATAGATGCGCTATATGACTCGAGACATAATATGTGATCTGTAGGTCCCGAAAATCCAATTCTGAGTCGAATCCTAGTACCCGCACCGCACCATGTTGTGGTGGCTATATAACACCAAGGGCCCCTTCCGGGTCGCCATCTCTCGAGTCTCTCTCTCGACTCGAAGCCTTCGTGTTCCACACAGTATCCTGTCAACTTCACGGAACGTCAGAGCTATGTCTACCCCTGCTGCTACTGCCTCCAGCCAGAACGTGACTATCCCCTCCATTCTCGAGTTGTACGACCCGAACTTCTTGAATGTGCTCCTCCCTGTCGCCAACACCAATCCCGAGAAGAAGGTTGTTGAGGGCAGTACTCAGCCTTCCAACCCCATGATCGAGGCTTTGAAGAAAGTCTCTCATCGCACTCGTACCGAAAACAACTCCCCTGCCTACGGCTCTACGTCTGACGCTGTCTTGGACGCGTTCCACTCTCTTCGACCTTATGCAACAGGTAAAGAGATATGGAGACATCTTGACAAAGCTTGGGAACAAAATCCTGAGACGACCCTCCGCGTAATCTGGAACCTCCGCAGTATTCATGACGGTAAGAGCGCGAGGGAGGAATTCTATCAGTAAGTTCATGCATTCACTGTCGTCCATTCTGTCTAACTTGGTGTGCTCATACAGTGCTTGGGGCTGGTTATACAAGAACCACCCTCGTACAGCTATCATGAATCTCCCTTTGCTTGTCAAACCCGTCTGCACCATAAAGAAGAATAAGAATCTGGCGCCACACGGGTACTGGAAGGATCTCTTAAACCTCCTCTGCTTGGCTGCTCTTGATCAACTCAAGCCGACAGACTCCCAGTTCCATTACCTTCATTGCGGAAAAATGCCCCCTGCTTCCGAAGATGATACCTTTTTCTCCAAAATTCGCAGACGTTTCGCCAATCCTATCTCACATCGCAAGGCATCTAAGGTGTCTCAGAAATCCGTCGAGCAATTGAAAGCTGAAGCGAAAGAGGAACGTGCGAAGGTCAATGTTCGCCTGCACGAGAATCTCTTGCGAAAGCTTGCCGAGCCCCAATTCCGTGCTCTGTACATCATGGTTGCTCGTCTTTTCGCCGAGAGACTCTCGGAGGATGTTCACATTCTGCTCAAAGCGGAAAGTCTTCCTGAGGGCGATGAGCGCAGAGATCTCATGCGTAGCATCTCTCTCGCTGGTAAATGGGCACCTTCTCCCGGACTCTCTCATGACCGACACACGAACATTGCTTCCGCCATCTCTCAGCTTCTTCATCATTCGTACTACCCTGGTCCTTCTAAGGTTACCGTCGACCCTTCGCAACCTCTTCTTCCAGCTGAGACGCACATCTTACGCTCCTACTATCAACGCTGGGTTCTCACAGAGCTTCGACGAGCTATCTTAGTCCCCGAACCTCTCATGTCCGCCAATCGCTGGAAGGAAATTAGGTATAACCGCGTCGCCTCGGTCTGCATGAAGAACAACACGGAGAACTTCTACAAGCATGATCCCGAGGGCTTCGAGAAGTATATGCTTGACGTGGAGAGTGGCAAACGTACGATATCGGGTGCGACGTTGCTCCCTCACGAGCTCGTCGTCGATGCCATGATCTGTTATCAGGATATGGAACACCAGATTAATCCCAAGCGTCCCAGTACGGCCGACGTTCGTAAACGTCTTGCTGAGATGAAGATTCGGGTGGTTGAGGGTCAGTGGAAGTCAATGCTGGACCGGGTTAAGGAGGCAGGGAAGTTGGATAACGCCTTGGCGGTCTGTGACGTATCTGGCTCGATGGGAATTCTGAGCGGTGTCACCAGGAAATGTGCGAGCCAGCCTATCGCCCCCGCTATCGGCTTGTCTCTTGTCTTAGCGCAGGTTGCGCAACCTCCATTCCAGAACAAGTTCATCACCTTCTCCGCGAACCCCAATTTGTCGACCTCGACCCAAAACAATCGCTTCTCGAGCAAATCAACACCATGGAAAAAGCCGCCTGGAGCATGAATACAGACTTCAATGCCGTCTTCCTCGACTTGCTCCTTCCTCTCGCCAA